GAAGAGACGCAGTGTGGAGAGGAAAATGAGAAGTGCTGGGAAAAGCGGAGCTACGGTGGCTTGAAAACGGCGAGGCGCGCTTGCTCGCGGGGGCCACGGGACGCCACCCGGCCAAATTGTCGTTAAGCATGCGCTTCGCCATGGCACATGGCAAGGTACTCGACGCTGGCGGTGGACGCAGATAAGCGTGGGGGAGAAGGAAGACAGCGTGCGAGGTGGGCTGGGCCGAGGCGAAGGCGCGGGTGCGGGGAGGATTGCTGGGCCGGCTTCAGCTGGTGGGCCAGAAGTGAGGCGGTGGCCCGTTAAAAGAGAGAAATAATTTTTCAAATTCTAATTTCAATAAACTTTCAAATATCAGTTTTCAAGTACCCTTTTGAGCAAGAAAATGACTTCTTTTGAAAATGGCTCAAAAATAAAAGTTGCTTAGAATTTAATCCTCTACAACTTTGCTTTAGGGACCAACTAAAAATTTTGCATAGATTTTGAATTGAGAAGCAAAAGCTAAATAGAGGGGATTTTTAACCTTTTCCAATAATAATTTCAAAAGCATATTTTGTCAAAACTTTGAATACAAACTTTGCTACAAAAATTGTGCTAAATAATTTTAGATGATTTACAATTATTACCAAACATGTTTTACTAACCTAGCAAGCATAATTAGGGCAAAATAACTCTAAACAAGTGTGTGCAACATTCATGTTTCACGAGCATGTTTTATATGTTTTAAAGCACTGTTTCAGTTATTATTTACATGATTTGGCATGTATGATTAAGATGCTTGATGATGCATAATGTGCATGATTTGCAGTGCCTAAATGCTTGCGTAACACCGGGGTGTTACAGTTGGCATAGTTTGTCAAGGAAGTTCCGCTGATGGTGTTGCCCGAGGTGTCTAGAAAGAGGAAAGCGCCAAGAAAGTGCCAGAGCCACACTCGAGCGAACCTGTTGATCTGAGCCTTCTCAGCCTATGGGTCCAAGTAATCAAAGCGCTCTGTGATCTAGGACAACGAAACACCGGATTTTTTCCTGAAATTGACCAAAGAAAATGAGACCCGATGGCTGCAGCAAAGCAATGCAAATATTAAATAGCCTTGAATTTCTCACTTATTTTTTTTGGAAGCCTTATCGTCCGGTGAAAGAAAGCTAGTAAACTGAGCCACCAGCTCCCTTCAGTGATCGTTGTCAACTATCCCTATCACTAGAAGTCCCCCCAACCGAAGGCCAAAAATAGTCTTCTTGTCCTGCATGGTCAAGGTCATCTCGCCACAAGGTAGGTGGAACGTGTGGGTCTCAGGCCTCCACCTGTTATAAGAATAGAATAACTGTTAGTTGCCTCAAATTTGTTACAAGAATATTTACGTACAAATAAGGCACTCGCACCTGTCTACAGCTATAGTAAGTAGTGCTAGGTCAAGAGGCGGAAGACCGTAGTTGACAACACGGACAAGCTCGAGGAAACCGGCACGCCGTATGTACGGCGCGTAACGCTTGTCTCACTGGTGCGCCCTGGTGTGCGTGCGGGGCCTCAAAGGAGGCAATGTCACTTCTGCGTCGTTGTTACTCAAGATGTGTGCTTGGTGCTGGTCATCGTACTCCACCTCAAGAATGATGTACAACGGGTGCTGCGTGAGAGGGGCCATCCTGTTATAAATTGATAAACAAAGGGTTAGAGTATTCAAATTAATAAAATTCAAATTAACATTATGTAGCATTACAAAATTTAAACTACTTGTTATGCAATACGAATACAATATGAAAACACATGTATATATTTAAAGTAACATTAACAGACATATTAAACAACTTCACTAGAAATATAAGTATTTGACGAAACTTCATACTACAACACACAACCTGAAACATAAAAACTAAATAACTAATTATAAACTAAATAATAAATACCTAACTATCCAAACTATACTACAACACACAACCTTAAACCTAAAAACTACCTACCTAAATCACAAACAAATTCACTAACCTAACTATCCTAAATCACTAACTATACTAAATCACTAACTATCATAAATCAATAACAATCCTAAAACCCTAACTATCCTAAATCACTAACTATCCTAAATCACTAATTATCATAAATTAATAATAATCAAAATAGCATGAAATCGAGAGGGAGGTACCTTGGTGGGAGCGGACGGCCTCGACGTGTCGGCGTTCGTGGCGTGGCCGGTGCGGGCGCTGCGCGGCGGGAGTGGGCGGGCGGGCGTGGCCGGCCTTCCAAGCGTGCTGGCGGCGGGGCGTGTGCGGGTGCTGTGGCGGCGGGCAGGTGGGCGGGATGGCGTGCATGAGGGCGGACGGGCTCGCTCGCGATATTTATCTGGTCCTGCCGCGCCATGCTCCGTGACGCGGCACTGTCGTGCCAAGATGGGTGGCACGACAGGCCCTGCCACTTCAGCCCCCTGCCGCGCCACCATACATGCATGTGGCACAGGCTTTTGGCCACGCCATGACAATAGACGCGGCCAAAAGTGTTAGTTTTGAAGAAAAAACAGACAGTGTTAGATTTAAAATTAGTTTTCAAAACGTGTTAAAATTAAAAAAATCTGCTTGACCGCCTGTGCCTGCGCGGCCGCTGGAAGGCAGCCCACGAACAGGTATATTTCGTACGCATCCGTGCCCCATGCCAAAGGTGGGAACGACGGGATCCCTCCGGGTTGTTCGGCTATAACCAAGTAAGCGCGAGCTAAATCCTTGCGTTCTCGATATCATTCCTGCATGTACACTCACTGAGGCCTTGTTCGTTTGTTCCTTATTCAAAACGGTCTGTTTCCCTTCCTGAGCTCGATTGAGTGGATCCTAGTGGTTCAGTAAAACCTGTTGAGCATATTGAAAACGGGCTTGTTTTTCTTCCCGAGGGTAGGAGGCCACGAATTGATCCTGTGGAATGAGACAGGGAAAACATCAGAAATGGACCGGCTACAATTCAACCCTAAATTAACCGAACAACCATTCTCGATTGGGCTAGGATTGATTCTAAGGCCCCATTCGGATGGTATGGTTCTGGAGGAATTTGGATGGTTTGGAGAAATTCTGGAGTAATCTGTGAGAGAAAAACACTGTTCCGGATGAAAAAAGAAGCGGATCAAACCAGGTTTAAGGGCACGCGACGGGACCTAAGTCCGGCCGATCCACCTAGAACGGACCACATTCCGGGTTGTTCCAGCCAAAATGAACGAGGCGTGAGTTGTATCATGCAGGTGTGCCGACAGGCAGCCTCCAAACCTCCGCCGCCACCGACCACCAAAGGCTGGCGCCACGACGGTGGCGGCAGCAGTATCGCAGTCGTAGGGCCTTACTACTTTGCCGACCGACAAGCAGATGCCTTCGACGTAGGCTGGCGCCAAGGCGCTTGCCGCCGGGCCAGGGGTGGCTACATATAGGCGCGCTTTGCGCACTGGACCAAAGACGACCGAAGCTAGCCCCAAACGGACCAAAGTGTAAGGGCTCGTTCTAACTCTGGCTGCAACGCAGTGACTTGTTTCTGAGACTGACCGATTTAGCTCGGCCCAAGTGAGCTGGTGTTTGTGACCCAATACTCAGCCGGGCTCAAATGCTAACCGCCACCAACTACCGAGCACAGATTGTGTTTGCCAGCTGCTGTGCTCGGCCTAGCCCAAAGAGAAGGAAGAACATCATGATCAATAGAGAAGCAAACACTTTGAATGAAAATGTACAAAAGACATAGGCCTCAGACTAATTCCATTTAATCAACACATACATTGCCGGCTACATTGCATAATCAAAGAGCAAATTAAGAACAGTAGCAGAATTAAGTAGTTTGGCAAGCCAAAAAGGACAACAAGTTAACAGAAAAGAGAGTACATGAATCAAAGTGGCATATAGACAGCTAATACAGTCATCCTATTGTGTCATCATCGGCCTAATTAAAACAACAGCTATGGCACATGAATAGTTTGAGTGACAGACCAACTACAACCATAAACAAGATCAAGATGATAGCATTTTTACAACAGCCTTGCAGCCCAGGTGAATGAGGATAGATTTCAGAACCTTGAGCTGTCACCAGTTCATGGCATGCTGATGCATCCCCATGAGGGGCATCAATTGGTAACAGTAAGGGTTCTTGAGGTACCCTTGCATTAAAATCTCTAAGAGCATATCATAGTTGTTGTACTTCTGATAGATAGCCCCTTCTTCCCTAAGCACTTGCTTAGCACACTCATACCATGTAAAATAAATCACAGGTTTCTTCCCTTCAAAGACCACATAGCAAGGAGGCATTCTCTGAAAACCAACCAAATGTAGAACATGTAAGTGGTCTGAATGACATGCCTCAGTCGACCATTCAGTTTGAATGATGGTGAACATCATCGGCTACTTGATAAAAAAATTAGCCTCAGCTTAGTAGTTTGGTGGTTTTTTCCTTGTTTAGTCATTGGTGGCTACCAAAAATTGTAAGAACCAAATAAAGAGGCAAATAAACAACAGTTGCACTCACTGCCATACAGACCTTTTGATCAGTTGCACTCACTACCATCAGCCATCAGAAGAGGATGTTGTTGCTATGGAGTACAACTGAGCATAAGTGTAGAATGGAAGGATAGGCAAATAAAGAACAAAGCACAATAACAAAACCATCAAAACAAGAATAAGGTAGTCACCTCATGTTTGTTTTATGCATCATAGGCCTTTAAATCCCACAGTTACCACCAGGGCATAAACAACACAAATAGGCAACTAGTTATCAAATAAAAAGTAGCCAAAAGAGGCTACAAATAGTGTTTGTTCCAATACCAAGTTCAGCCCAACAGCCAAGGGCTCAAATATTCCCAAATCCTTGCCTATTGTTAGCCACCCTCCTAGGCAAACTACACCATCAAGGTCAAATGTCAAAAGAACAAGCAGACTGCACAAAAGCTCCTGTTGTCAAAAGAAGAGAGAGTGGGTGAGGGGGGTGGAGGAACTATACATCTCTACAGTCAACCCTCTCCTAGCCTTCTAGCCCTTCATGTGTAGTGGAACTACATATAGTAGTTTTTGGCCACGAAGGTCCTAAGCCAAAGGGCCCTGTGGGCATCACTCATGTTCACAAAGCCCCTGCCTTGGGCCTTGTTGTCCAGGAGGAAGGTGTAGGCAACAATAAGTGCCTCCTCACTGAAGCCAGACATCTCCATCACAGCAAGGTACCGATTGGCATCAACATGGGCAGGTCCAGTCTCCCTAAGAGCATTGGCCACATTGTTCACAGCATCTGACATGTTAGTGAACAAGAGCATCTCCTCCTCAGAGAAGTTCCCTCTCTTCCTCTTTGGGCCAGTAGCTGAGGAGGTAGGAAGCAGTTCAGTGGCCTTGCTATCCCCTCCCTGTTCACTGGGAACTGTGGTGTGGGTCAAAGGAGGACCATCAGCCTTGGCACCAACACTGTCAGCCTAGTTCTGCCCTAAGGCTTCACCAGACCCAAGTGCAAACTTGCCTGTGGCCATGGCATTAGCAAAGATAGTCTCCATCTTAGTGTAGAACCTAATAGGGCAGTTAAGAAAACTCTGCATCTTTAGGATGGTCCTGCAGGGTTGGGCAATTATAGTTTAAGAAAGACAAATGTAGGTAGTCAAGGCAAAGACGAGATCAAATTGCTACCTTGCAGTGGCCAAGGTAGTGCTCTTGCTCAAGCATGATAGCATGAGCCTGGTCATCCCAAAGAGCACCACTAAGGTCCTTCAGCTTGCTCACCCTAGCCCATTTCTGCCTCCACTTCCTCAAGTGGTTGTACACTTGAGTTGGGCTCCCTTGCATTGGTGGGCCCGTTCCTTGGGCCATACTCAGACAAATGGTACCTAACCCCTCTATAGGGAGGTAGGAAACCATTTTTGCATGCATACCCAGCATCTACCAAAAACATTTTACCTACACAAGACATCTACTGTGAGAGTGTGTGTTAATAGGCCATGGAATATGTAATTAGTGTTGGTGTGCAATTACCTTCTGGCAAACTCAAGCCATCTTCTCTGGCTACAACATCTGCCAAAACAGTTGCATCAAGGGCAGAGCCCTCCCAGCCAGCCAGGACATAAGTGAATTTCAGATCACAATTCACAGCTACTATCACATTTTGGGTGGGATCCTTTTTTCTACCCCTGAAAGCTTGTTGCATGCGCTTAGGAACCCTTGCTAGGAAATGAGTGCCATCTATAAAGCCAATGACATCCTAAAAACATGGGTCACTATCATTGCAACAGTCTAATGTAACTAATGAACCTGTGGTATACAATTACCTTAAAATATGGATTCCATGTATGGCTTCTAAGAATCTTTGGGTGAGTGGTAGTGCTAATGGCTTTATCATTTCATTCCTAAGCTCACCCACAAAGATACAACACCTGATGGAAGTGCTTGTGGACAGTTTGGATGGACCTTCTAAAGGACTGGTGGACAACCCTAAGTCTTTGGTTGTGCCCTACAACATATAAAAACATGGCAACCTGCTCTTCTACTGACACCCCCTCCCTATCAGTGACAAGACTCCTCTCTCTAAAAATTCTCACTAACTTAAAAAAAAGCAGCTCCCTTCATCCTAATCATAGAAATACACTCTAAATCAGTGGAGTTGTATATCATTCTCAGTGTTCTCTATCTGTGCTGTTCATTTTCATCCCTAATCAGGGCCAGTGCTATAGGATCAGGCAATGGGGTTTCAGGTTCAGGGGTTTTCCTTTTTAGCCTAGTGGATACAAAGGAAACCATAACAACAGTCAAGGCAGCTGTCTCCCTACACAGCATGTCACGGCTCAAAGACAGATCCATCTACAAGCATGTAAAAATGTAACATGATTTCAGCTTAATGTACCCTGCTAGGCATCAACATGAATGTGAAATGAATGCATATGAACAAAAGCACGGCTGCATCTTGCATGTGATGCCTCCCAGTGCTAAATTTGGACAACATCATCAACCAATGATGGAACAAAAAACTCAGAGCAATAGTAATCAGAAACAGATCAACATCCCTAACAGATCAAGAACAGTAAGATACAAGTAACACTAACAACTGCATCAAACAGTTATGAACAGCAAGGTACAACACTAATCTCAAACAGATCAACAACCCTAACAGATCACGATCCTAACAGATCAAGAACAACAAGGTACAAGTAACCCTAATAAGAGCATGAAGCAGTTATAACAAGTATGAAACCCTAACAGATCATGAACAGCAACGAACAAGAAACCCTAAGAACTTCAAGAAGCACCACAAAAAAGAAGATTGGGGGTCGATTTCACCTTAGCTCGGGGTCCAAACAACGGAGAGGAGGCAGATCTAGAAGTAGAGGATGCAGATCGGGAAGAAGACGAAGCAGATGTGGACGGAGAAGAAGAGGAACACCGTCGCCATGGAGTCCCAGCAGCAGCCGGAGCGGTGACGCGGCGAAGAACCTCAACGCCGGTGACCGAACCCACAACCAGCCAGAGGTCGCCGCCGCCGCCACGCACTACCACTCACTACCGGTCTCTCACAAGGGAGGTGGAAGAGCAAGCACCGAGTGAAAGAAGGAGAGAGTGGAGAGTGGGAACCCGTATATAAAGGCCGACGAAATCGCCGCCATTTCGCTTCACGCGCGGTGGCCAGAGCGGGAGCGGGGACGCGTGCGAAGAAGTTTCCCCTTCCCGCCAGAGCCCGCGCGAGCCACCCCGCCGTCGCCCAAAATCGCCTGCGTGCACCGCCACGAGCTCGGCTCCAAAGAAACGAGGGTTTTCATCGTTTCCAGAGGGCCAGGCGGAGAGGGCGTTTTTGGCTCTGTGAAGCCAGGCTTGCTCGTGGGCCACGACCACATACAAGGCAAGTTGCAGCCCAGGGGCGTAGCCGGGCCTCCGGGCCAGGGTCGCAAACGCGCCCATAATAACTCATAAGCCTTGCTGCAATGTCAAGGGACAAGCTGTGCGGCCGTTTTGGATGTCCCAACCACTCCTAAGTTCATAACTGTTGCGGATGCTAGTTCTGAAGCAGAAGAATATATATAAGAAAAAAGGCGCTAGTAAAGCCTTAAACAGCCTGATAGCGTGGGAGACGTGTAACGTCGTACTGTATTTGTCGTACTGTTTTTGCTCAGCCTGTGAGCTAGCCTATATGGGTGTGCCCTTGATGAACGACTGCTATATTTTGTTTCGAGTGTTCCTTGACAAAGGAAATTTTAATTTACTATAGAAATATAATATATGAAGGCGGTATCATGTAAAATCCAGAAGATCTGATCGATAAGAGAGCCTATAAATTATACAAGCTCATAACTCTAGAGATGATGTTTAGCAAGCGTTACATACACTCATAACTAAGACAACGTCAACAGATGGCACAAAACATGCATAGGTTGAAACTTAAATCCAAACAACCGAGGACAAGGGTGGCTAACATAATCCGTGTGTCGTTGTTTTCGGACCACCAACGAGTAAATTTATATTTTTATGTCTGACTCGGATGGTGTGCTCGGAGGACACAAGGCTTTATATTGGTTCGGGCGGAACGTCCCTATGTTCCAGTTCGCTGTTGCTCGTATTACCGGCACTTGGTTTGTAGTAGGTGTTACAAACAGGCGAGAGAGGGAAAAGATCCCAAGTCTCTGGTGGAAAGAGTGAACGGGTGCTGAGAGCTCGATTGCCGCTCAGCCGTGTGCTCGTGTCGTGCTCTTGTGTTCTGATCCCCCAGCGTGGGGCGTCCTACTTCCTCTTTTATAGGCGAAGAGAAAGCGCGGGTTACGGAGTAGGAAAAGTAGAAGAACGAGAGAGAAGAAGGCTTCCAGGGTCGCCGGGTCCTTCTTAATTCGGGTCCCGCTGATCCTATAGATGTCAACAGGGACGACTCCATGTCGTGGCCCTGTTTGTCACTGGCGCCATGCACAGCCATCATCTGCCAGTCATGGCATTTCACTCCATCCTGGCGGATGTCGTGGTGAACTGACGCACTTGTTAGCGTCCGTACGAGTCTTAGGCAGAACAACACCGACACGTCCGACATTGTTCTTAATGTGAATCCCTAGGTATGGCTTGTCATGACCACGGGTACGTCGAGGCGTGCCAGCCTCTTCCGTGGCGTCAGAGTTTTGACACAGGCCCATACGCTTGGACCTGGAGTGGTTGGTGACGGTATGGGTCCCCGTCGGACGAGACGGAACCCGTATCCTTGGGGTCATGCGAGACGGAGCCCACACCCAAAGGGTCGGCGCGAGACGGAGCCCGCGTCCTCGAGGTCGGGCGAGACGGAGCCCGCGTCCTTGGGTCGGGCGAGACGGAGCCCGCACCCAAGGAGTCGGGCAAGACGGAGCCCACACCCAAAGGGCCCACAGCCTTAGGGTCGAATGAGACATTTTAATGTCTCGAGCCATCCGAAAAAGTCAGCGTAGACGCTAACTTACTTGCTTTGGATATCCCTAATATTGATACCCAACACATATACGAGGACAAACTGTGAGGCCGTTTTGGCTGTCCCAGCTCCCAATCGCCCGTAGGTCCCCGTAACTGTTGAGGACGCTAGTTCTGAAGCAGAACTGCAGAAGAATAAATAAGTGCTAGTAAGTGCAAGCCTTTTTTTTTTATCCTAGTAGGACTATCTCCAATAATCTACCCATAATATTACCTAAACCCAAAATACGTGCTTTACCTTATTTTAGCTTAAAAAATAGCCTCCAACAGGATAGGCGTACAAGGACGCAAAATACGTGCCAGGCGAGGCGCAGCCCAAATATACGTCGCATGCTCCGGTCAATGGGTCACGCGCTGTCGATCGATTGTTGGTGCTCTGCAGTTCGTGTGAGAAGGAGAGCGCGTGTGGGGCCCGCGCTTGCATGCATCTGGGCGCCACTCGTAAGCTCCGTTTGCTCATGTCCATTCGTTGCTGAGAGAAAGGGAGACCAGACCCGTGGGGACCACGCCCTGCATGCACTGCTGAGAGTGAGAGGAAGCTGTCAGTGCATCTTCTTTTGCGTTTCCTGTTGAAAAACAACAAAAATAGGTACGTGACCTTTTTCCACGGCGCGACGCATTCTAGCCAATGAGTCTCCCATCTGGATGAGTATTGTCGGAGATAGTCTAAGTGCAAGCCTTGGTAGACGGGAGACGTAACGCCGTACCGTATTTGCTCAGCCTGTGTACATTGAGTGTCCTTAAACAACTGCTATGTCTTATTTCGAGTGTTCCTTGACAGAAGAGAATTTACTATAGAAATATAATATCTGAAGGAGCTATCATATAAAACTAAGAAGATCTAATCAATAAGAGACAGTCTATCAAATTCAAAGATAAAAGGCATGACTTTAGGACGATGTCAACAAATAGTGCAAAATTAAAGACTCAAGCCCCGTTCGCTGGTCTAAAACTTAGCTGAAACTGACTGGTTGTTGTGAGAGAGAAACACTGTAGCGGCTGAAAATATCTAAAAAATGCACAGTAATCGATGAGACAACCAGCCAGCTGATCCGAACAAATCAGACCAACGAATGGCGCCTCAGAGCACCTCCAGTGTTCGGCCGAATCGAACCGAGGGGCCGTCCAACCGAACCGTCGACACTACAGCCATCGAAAGCGGGTGCTGCAGACGCGCCGAACATAGGGAATAAAATAATCCCAAACAAACACAAACGAGCATGGAGCGGCACTACTACAGTACTACGTCTGTCGCGTGACTGAGCTGTATGGAGAGAAATAATTTTTTATACGTAAAGGGACCACACAACTGATATCCACACTGGAGGTCGCCCAACAGAATGTTTGCCACTTCCGAGTACTACATGCCTAGGCTGAAACTGAAATTCAAACAACTGAATCACTAGCTTATATGGGTTTCCTGAAGCTGTAAAATCATAGTGATGCCCCTTGTTCACGTGCCACAGAATTTGAAAGGATGGAAAGGTTGTGATTCATGAATGTCAGGGCCAGATTCAGAGTCTGAAATAATTTTGGTCACAAATGAAGGCTCATTAGAAGCCGACAGTGAACCGACAGCCATTGCAGCATATGAATCTCATAACAATATATAATACGTATATTGATCGAAAAAATAACAATATATAATATAATTAAAAGGCTTGTGAATCTCGTTTGGCAATTGGCATTACAGATCTCATTTGGCAATTGGCATCAAATTATGATTAAAAAATGCTTTATCACAAGCTGCATTCCCATAGTTTATGTGTATTACCATTAAGGACTCAATTCGAAGAACGCGCAGAGATTAACGTTAAGGAGTCAATTTTAAACACTTGTATATATTGCTTTTCTTTTCCTACTTGTTGAGTTCCACGCATTCTCTGGTCCTACTAGTACTCCACGTCTCCACCAAGGCAATCGCTAATAATTGGGCTGAGATTACAGGTCACAGCGTCCTTGGGCTGAGATTACAGGTCACAGCGTCCTTTCACAGCCCAATGGCCTGATAGCGTGCGGGCCCACTTGGAGTAGTCGCGTAGAGCCGAGCGAGCGTTGCGGGTGCGGCTCACCGTTCGCGACGCCGAGCCGACGACGAACCCGATGCCGCCCCACCGTGCCGGAGGGGCCGCAGGCGGCGGTGACACCAGCGCGTTCTTCACGGCGACGCTAGTGCTCTGGGCTGTGTCTTTGGGGTTCGAGATCGGCGTGCGAGGGCGACGCGAGCTTGCGCCCGTGGCCGCCGGCTTCGCCTTCTTCCAAGCCGCCAACGCCGCGGTCCGCGGCTCGGTCTCCCGCGACCCCCGCTCTTCGTCAACACCGCCGTATCGCTCCTCCACTCCTCCCTCACCTCCGTCTCCGGTACAAATTTCTCCCCCTTGCCTCCCCCAACCCCACCCTTGGTACCTTAGTTTTGGTGCTCGATATGTGTCGACTGCAAGGAAACATACGATTTAGTCGATTCCAGGTTCAGATGAGTTTGGGAAATAGAAGCGCGCAGTGGATTAACAATAGACAAAGCTGGTGATACTTAACGTCTGGGTTCCTTGTTGGGGGACCGGGAGCAGCGTTGATTTAATTACTGTTGGTTTTGTCACTTGCTGCTTCCATGGTGGCAATGTCGTTTGTCTGGTGTGAGCTTGGCCTGGTTGAAATTGTGCGAGAATACTCGAATTCCCTATTGGCGCAGGATTCTCTAATAGTAGCTTGTTAAGGTTGGCATATCGTGGTTCAGAACAAGGGCGTTGCAGGCAAATGCGCTGCCAACTTTGTTCAAAAGTATTGACGTAAAAATGCTCGTAATCGTTAGCACTGATCGAATATATGCTCCTTTAAGCTGTATCGCATTCTATTGTCTACTCTAGTACTCTTAAATTTGGGGCCGGCGAAGCAAAGAACTAATGTGCAAAGATACTAATAACAATGCATATGGGGCTTGTTAGCAGACAGACACTTTCCATTACCATTTCTTAACACATTCTTATAATGTGCAAGCTGTGAAGATGTTACACAAAGCAGAAAGCACCATCTGTTACATCATGTCTTTAAATCTTAGGCTTGTTCATATGCTCTATTGCATTAGCTCATCTTTGAATGATGCCGTTGCCCTTGCAGTTATCTTTGTTCTTGCCCATCAATGGCGTAATAAGGGCCTTGATAACATGTTTGAGAATGAAGAACTATTTGGTGGCAGTTGGATTGGAGCATATTCTGCTCTGTGCTTTTCTTGTGGCTACTTTGCATATGACCAACTGGACATGCTCCGTTACCGGCTGTACAGTGGATGCATTCCTGGAATTCTCATGCATCAGTTGATCCTACTCATTTGCTTTACACTAGCTCTGTATAGGAATGTCACAATCAACTACCTAATTCTCTCCCTTGTATGCGAGGTACATCTATCTCTTCTCATTCTGGGGAGGCATTTACTTTTCATGCTTGAAATAAAATGTTGTCCTTTCTTTTATCATCTTTTTCAAGCATTGACTTTTTTACTCACTTTTCATTGAAGAAACACATGCACAGCAAAAGGGAATGCTTGGCATAGAATTTTTTGAGCCATTGACCCTAATCTGCTTTTGAGTCTCCAGATTGGCAACTATTGTAATTTTGTCACAAGTATAACCTTAGCCAGTAGAGAGTTGTGTGTGCCAGTTTTAACTTTTAACCCCAACTTTGTCGCAATGAACCTGAAATACAAGTACTCCCTCGGTTCCAAATTATAAGTCGCTTTAACTTTTTTGGTACATCCACCTTGCTATGTATCTAGATATAATATATATGTCTAGATACATAGCAAAATGGATGTACCAAAAAAGTCAAAGCGACTTATAATTTGGAACGGAGGGAGTAATATGCATTCTCCCTCTATATGGTTGCGCGGATGATGATATGACTAGAGGACATTTCACTTTACCCTGCAATGTATAGCAAATAAGATGGTTGGTCCGTTCCAAAATGTACTCCCTCCACTCCAAATTATAAGACGTTTTGGCGTTTCTAGATACATAACTTTTGCTACGCAATTAGATTACACTATGGTAAAAGAAATATCTAGAAAATCCCAAACGTCTTATAATTTGGAACGGATGGAGTAGTTGTTTTAATTTTGTACTAAGTCAAACTTCCCTAACTTTGACTAAGTTCATATAAACTTGCACTAACATCTACAACATCAAATTAGTTTCACAAAATCTACCATGAGGTATGTCTTGATAGTGCATTTATTTTTGGTATTGTATATATCAATTCATTTTCCTAGAAACTTGATCAACGTTAGAGAAGTTTGACTTGAGATAAAACAAAAATGACCTAGTGACCTACATTTCAGAACTTAGGGAGTAACTATTTTGCTTGCCCACTTAGGCTTTCGACCACTGGCCTGTGTAGTTGTTTTGACTATAGCGCTTTTACTGAGATTGAATTGATGGCATGCATGAATGCATATTAGAGCCCTTTTTTTTGGCAACGGACTGTCAGTGGAATTAATACAGGCTCTTTCTTCATCTTGCTGCAAGAGATTTTTTATGTGCTCATTCATGTATACATAAATAAAGGTCTCCCAGAATAATTACACCTTCCACTGTGAGCAGTTGATGCCTTTGCTTGATATTTTTTTTTATTAGGGTTCCCCGTAGTTGTAGTGATTTATCTAAATTACTAAGTTGTGTTCACACAACAGAAAACTGACGAAGTTTATGATTGCAGCTGCACTCCATATTTTTGCATGTAAGGAAAGTGAGGCGGATGGTTGGATTTCGGGATTTCAACAGAACAATGGTGAAGCTGGAATGGGTACTCAACTGGACTACCTTTGTGACAGCAAGGGTGATATGCCATATCTTGATTACTTATAAGCTCATCGCTGATGCCCACAAATTTGGGAAGGGCATTGAGCTTCCGCTTGCTCTTCTTGGTATGGCAGGAATGAATCTGCTCAACATATTTCTAGGGCTCGATCTACTTAAAGCATTAAGAAATCAGCAGAACCATCAGGATTGAATGCACCTTTCTTGATGGCGGTGTACTCTAAATTTTGAGAAGGCTGTAGTTCCGTTCGTGTAGGGACAGAGAGGTATGTTTAAGTCTTAATTAGCAACTACACTGGAGGCTATTTATGTATGCATTCTTTATGTATACCAACACGTGCTAATGCTAAGTGATAGATATATACATTAGGAAAGTGTATATTAGGCAAGTCTATATTTAGTATGATTAGCACCTGCCATGTATTGCATATATGCTGCCATGTAATTGGCTATATATATCAAGGTCACCCCTCACATTGGGTGTGGTGTTTCCTTCTATCTCGCTATTCTACATGGTATCACTGACCAAGATCAATTAGATCCTGGACCTTCTACTTCCGCCTCCTTCCACCCCACCTCTTCCCCGGGCGCGCCTCCTCCTGTGGCGAGATGCTTTCCAACGCCGATGCTCTGCCGCATGCCTTTGCCTGGGCCGCAGCTATTGCCACCACCACCACCGCAGCAGCAGCCGTCATCCATTTTTACACCGCCGTGAACGTGAAGACTCACATTCCGGTTACCACCGAGATGAAGAATCCTAACTTCACCAAGTGGGCTTCTTCAAGGCCTTGTGTGGGAAATTCACCGCCTTCACATCGACGGACCGACCCTCCGATCGCCGATCCATCGTGGGACATTGCCGAGTGCACCGTCTGCGGTTGGATCCTCAACACCGTCGACGACTCGGTTCTTGATCTTGCCATCACCGACGAGAACCATCCGCCCATGAGCTGTGGGTGGCGATTGAGGGCCTCTTCCGTTCCAACGGCGGCGCCCGGGTTTTCTTCGCTTGAAGAGTTTCACTCCTTGAAACAGGTGACTCGACAATTGACGAAATCTTAGCATCGCGCCTCAAGATCAAGGGCCGCTCTTGGGACGTCGGCCACACCATCGAGGACTCCCAACTCGTCCCTCGCCTCTCCACGCTGCCTCAACCCACGCTTACATCGCCATCGCCGACGACATCGCCAACTCCCCGAGCCGCCATCCTTCTCTGTGGCGCGAGAAATGCTCTCCTCAAAGAGTGCGCCGCCTAACGACGTAGAAGACCACGGTCAGATCTCGCCATGGTGGCCGCCTGCCTCCTGACTTCTCCGGTGGTGGCCCTCCTCCTCTGTGTGCATCGCGGCTCCCGCTCCCAAGGGGGCTGGGGCGGGCAGGAAAGGCAAGTGGTAACAAGAACAGTGCGGCCAAGGCGCTTAAGGCACCAACTGGGGATGGCAGTTAGGCAGCCAATCCCAAGGGCCAACCAACCCATGGGCCCTCGGGTTCTCACATAACCCATGGGCCTTCCAGTATGCGGCTCCATGGCGTGTCAGCCGCGGTATGACCCACATGGGTGGCAGCTATGGCCCCCCACGGTGACCAGGGCATCATGGGTGCCAATCCATGCCCACACCGTCTTCACTCCCTCCGCCACCTCCATCCGCTCCTTTGTGGGATCAGCCGGCCTCATCACGCTTTGAACCGGATGGCGCCCGTAACTCCTACTGGGTCATGGACTCGGCGCCACCTCCCACATGCATAACTCGGATGGTATACTCATCTCCGTCAACTCTCTTCTATACCATCCATTATCGCTAAGGCCATCATCTTCCCCGTCTCGCCCGGCAGCTCCACTTTACCGTGCCACGCGTCTCCTTCTCGCCGCAATGTTCTAGTTGTCCCCTCTCTAGTGCGCAACTTACTTTTGGTTCGCCAATTCACTCGTGACAACAATTGCACTATCGAATTTGACGATTTGGCTTTTCCATTGTTAAGGACCAGCACGACGCGTGATTCTTCGCTCCAATAGCTCCGACGGCCTCTACACCGCCCCCTCGCCACGCCACAAGCCAACCTCGTCACCTCCACCGACCTATGGCATCATCGTTCTGGTCATCCAGAGTCGCCGCCTCCATTTGCTTAGACACAATAATTCCATTTCGTAATAAATCAGCTCATACTCTTTGTCACTCCTGTCAACTTGGCAAGCATGTGCGGGTGCCTTTTGGCAATTCCAGCCTGTTTCTCTTTACCTTTTGAGCTTATATAATCGTGATGTTTGGACATCCCCGGTCGCTAGTATTTACGGTGCATAAGATTACCTTGTCATCCTCGATGACTTCACCCACTTTTGTCGGACCTTTCCCTAGTCCATAAGTCCGAGGTAGCTACTCACATCACTCGCTTTTTGCCTTTCGTCCACACACAGCTTCAGCCTTCCTGTCAAAATGTTTCAGCCGACAATGGCAATCGAATTTGTCAACAATACCCTCGCCACCTTCTTCGCCTCTAGCGGCATTCACTTACGCCTCTCTCGCCTTTACACCTCCCTCAAAACGGCAAAGTCGAACGTATCATCCGTTTCTCCGAACAACATATGCCGTGACGCTCATCCACGCCCACATGCCACCCAAATATTGGGCAAGAGGCACTAGCTACGACCACATATCTCCTCAACAGCGCCTCGCCAGCCATTCACCATAGAGTTCCCTATGAGCAACTCTTCCAAAGAATCCCCAGACTACACTATTCTTCGTGTCTTGGTTGCCTCTGCTATCCCAATCTCACCGCCACTTCCAAACACAAGTCGCCCCGCTCTCCACAAACTGTGGTCTTTCTTGGATACCCCTCTCTCACAAGGGTTATCGGTGTCTCGACCTCACAACTAGACGGATTATCATCTCCCGTCATGTTGTCTTCGACGAGAATAATTTTCCGCTCAAAGATCGACCCCACCCGGTGAGCCCACAAGCTCTCGGATTTTTTCTTCTAGGTCTGGTGCGCCGTGCCACACCGCCACCATGGTGCCCCTCGCGTCGCCTTTGCCGCTGCCGCCGCCACAGACGGACCATGACGCCGAAAGCTCAACTGGAGGAGCTCGGCCGAGGACCCCGCCATCCCACATGATTGGCCCGGTCCTTCCTCCGGCCCGGCTGCCCCGCTCCAACCGGTCCACCTCTACGGGTCTCACGTTCGCGGCGTCTTTGGTGCTCCTGGCCGCCCGGCCCGGCCAGCCGCCTCTGCCTGTCTCGCGTCTGCATGCCGTGGAGGTGCCTCATGAAATAAATCATTGTTTCGTCGCGCTGGCCGTGGAGGGTTGCCCCGTCGGCTTGAGCCAAGCCCGCCTCGCCCAGCTTGTGGCACCGGTCCGCCACCTCCTACTTCGAGCCGACGACACGTGACGCGCTTCGCAGCAAGCTCGCGCAAGCTTCGTTGATCGTTACGGCTTCCCATCATGCTCACTTCGCCGCGCGATCCATCGCCTCACCCATTCCCCGCGACTACCGAGGGGCCTTTGGCGGCGCGGCCATGGTCGAGAGTACAAGGCTCGTCGACAACGACACGTGGCGACTTCGCTTTCGCCCCCAGTGCCAACGTGGTGACAGCAAGTGGATCTTCGGCACAAGTTCCACCGATGGCACCCTCTCGTCCAAGGCTCATTGGGTCGCTCGTGGTTTCACCCAGCGCCACGGCATCGACACGATTTAAACGTTCGGCTTCGTCGTCAAGCTCCGCCACCATTCGGATCGTCCTCAAGATCGCCGCTTTCGCTGGCTCCATCTGGCCCATCACCGGACGTGAAGAATGCCTTTCTTCACGGTCACACACGACGGTTATCAGCCGGCCGGCTTGCCGGCCCGTCGGACGCGCGCCCCGACGCCGTCTGTCTTCTTCAGCGCTTCCCTTTACGGCCTCAAGCAGCCCTGCATGGGCGTGGCTTTTGGCACCGCCCCACGTCGCCACGAGACGCTCTTCGGCCCGTTGTTTTCGCCACCGACACCTCCCTCTTCGTCTACACCGAGGGCGGCGCCAAGGCCTACTTGTCGTCAGACGCCGACGACATCCCTCACGGCTTTCTCGGAAGCTCGCCCGCAAGATCATCGGTCGCCTTCACTCGAAGTTTGCCATGACGGATCTTGGGAGCTCCATCACTTCGGGATCTCCGTCACTCGCCTCCTCCGACTCTCTTCCTCACCAAAGGCAGTCGCGGTGGATCTTCTTCAGAAGGCGGGCATGGCCGAATGTCACTCGACATCGACGCCTGTCGACTCTCGTGCCAAGCTCTCTGCCACGGAGGGCGCTCCCGTCGCCGACCCCGCCACGTACCGAGTCTCGCGGCTCACTTCAAAAAAGATGCCGCACTCACTCGCCCGACCAAGGCAGCACCGTGCAGGCTGGCAGTAGTGTGCCTCTTTATGCATGATCCGCTGAAGCTCACCTTATACCGCCGAAGCGCATCCTTCGGTATGTGAAGGGCACACTGTCAGCTGGCCTCCACATCAGCACTGGGCCTATCGACAAGTTGATTGCCTACTCCGACGCTGACTGGGCAGGGTGCCCCGACTCTCGCCGCTCCACCTCCGGCTTCTGCGTCTTCCTCGGCGACAGCTTGGTGTCCTGGTCGTCAAACGGCACTACTACAAACCACGGTGTCCGGTCCCAAAGAGCAGGCCGAGTACGGGCATGTTGCTCATGTGGTCGCAGAGCTTTGTTATTTTCGATAGCCTTCTTCAGAACTTCATGTTCCATTGAAGGTCGCCACAGCTTGTTCATCGTGACAACGCGTCATTGTCTATATGATGCCCAACCCGTCCACCACCGCCAGCATTCAAGCACATTGAGATCGACATCCATTTCGTCTGGGTGAGAAGGTGGCTCTCGGCGAGGTTCGCGTTCTCCATGTGCTTTGTCCAAGTATCGCTTTGTCGATCTCATGACAAAGGGGGCTGCGGTTCAGCTCTTTGAGGATTTTTCGGTTCATCTGTGCATCCGAATCTGATGCTTCGACTGAGGGCGGCTGATAGATATATACATTAGGAAAGTGTATATTAGGCAAGTCTATATTTAGTATGATTAGCACCTGCCATGTATTGCATATATGCTGCCATGTAATTGGCTATATATATCAAGGTCACCCCCCTCACATTGGGTGTGGTGTTTCCCTTCTATCTCTGCTATTCTACACTAAGATCTCTACCGGAAAGGGTT